CGTGTCTCATACCCAAGAGTGGCTGGTTGCTTTCATTTCACCCCTGCGTCTGCATCTATAAGTGAATAAGTTTTACAAGGCCGCGCTGCACGCAAGACGGTGAATGTGTGACATTTGTTGAACAATCTATACCAGTTCTGGGGGCCACGTAACCTCCTGTGGGTATGACGGTCTCTTCCACAAGGGTAAATATGCCGAAGCATGAAGCTGATCAGTCATGTCCGTACAGTACTAGTGTCTAGAACACGCAGAATTTTGCTTTCATTGACTTGTTCACCATCACGGTGTCGTTCTTATGCCTAGGAGTAATTTCGCACTAATCTCTTGGAACAATGCAACTTGCTTGTGCATCTCGCGCACACAGTCACGCATGCGCACTGCACGAGTACAATGTGCAATGCAGTTGCGACTTCTTAGTTTGAAACTGCATACAGACGGATAAATGGGGAGGGGAAATTTCACTCTGTAGTCTTCGATTTGAATCCAAGTTGAATTCAGAACTTCTGTGGAACGGGAGAATGGCTGCAGACTTGAGACAGCCACTGCACNCATGAATTACGAATAACAGACGAGGAAGAATTCGCGCCCTATTTTCGAATCTTATGCAATAGTACGACTCGGAAATAATACTGTCACGTGTTACAGTGACTTTCGACGTGGTTTTGAAATGGAGCTTGGATTTATTGACCACTTCAACACACTACTTGTGACCACAATTAATAAAAACGCCATTGCTGATCTCCACATTTTACAAATCACTAGAGCACACACTAAGTTTTTTCCAGCCTGCAGTGTCTTCACCAGTCGTTTCCCAGTAACGGCTTCTAATAGTCGAGAATCTTCAGCTTCCTCGCTCACGCCATTCCTGGCTGGCCACCGTCTCCCACCTGAACTAAGCTCATAGACAAAGCTATGTTACGATCGACGGTCATTCGGCCAGTCTGTCTTTGAATAAAGCACCCATCTGGGACTTATGACCAGATATTTATTATTGTATGACAGTGTATGTTGCTGGCGTTACCTAGCAACGCCCTCTGTCCCGTTGTTTCACGGCCGTTGCCTAAAAGCTAATACTGTTTTATAGGCGTTCCCTAACAACGGCTGCTTCTCTGGCTCCTCCGTTCTTGGTTTGAGCAAATATGCCTCAATACGAACCGATTTTGTTATTGCTAGTGGGGTGGGACTGAGTCCCTTGTACTGCGGCCACTTCTGGCCTACTGTACCAGCCCCAAATGATAGGTGAGGGTGATTGTGGAGCAATTGGTGGAATGAATTGGCAGGGGAAACCGAAGTACTCGGAGACAACCTGCCCCAGCGCCACTTTGTTCACCACAAATCCCACTTGACCAGACCCGGGATCGAACTCGGGCCGCCACGGTGGGAAGCCAGCGACTAACCGCTTGAGCAATGGCGCGGCCTTTACGAACCGATTTAGTCCGATTCAAATAATGAGTGAGAGGCTATGGAAGTACATACGAAGCGTCGTGTCAAGCGTTGAGGATATTTCTTTTAGGCTAAATGATATTTATGAGGTAATAGTCAATGAACAGATCCTTTAGCCAAATATGTATCACTTTCATAAAAGTTCTGACCAAGGCAGTTACGTACTTCGAGCGGCGGCCGTGGTGATATTCCTTTCGCCCTTGTGAGCGCCAAGTACATGAAACAATAGTTAAAGACCAAGTTCCTACCTCACGGAGTCTGCACTACAAAGGCACACCGACTAATGTTATGTTGTTTATTTTGAGGATCATACAGAAGTTCTAAATACAGTCTGTGAATAAAATGCAGACAACTTTAATCTTACAGAATATGTTTACACAATGACCACCGTTCTTCACAGAGTTAAATGAACAGCACGAAGTCCTCGCAAGCTTCCAGAGATTATCGCAAACACTCCATATCCCGAGACGAAAAAAAAATGAGTTTCTTAGGCCAGTTGGTGGGGAGGGGGGTTGGGAACTTATGTAACGTGGAATTAAATACTGTGGCGCATTTTCTCAAAGCAAGAACTGGGGAGCCAGAGAAACAGCCGTTGCTAAGTAATGGCTGCACGAAATAATAGAAAAAGTGTCACGATACGAGATGCGACGCGTACAATCGTTGCTACGGAGCGATTTGGTAGGCACGTTTCCGCGAAGACGAAATCATGCAACAACAGAAAAGTTGCGTTTTCGGTGAGGTCCATGCCGAGGGGTTATAAAAAGGACAAAGAAAATCGTTTAAGTCATCCTTGTCTAGGGGAATGCTACCGCCTGCCTCCATATTTAGATTGAAGAGAAACATGCCATTCTAACCTGTTGATTGAGGCGAAGAGAACTTCAGTTCCTGAAAAGCTATTTCGCATCTCAGGGTAACACAGTTCAACAACTGAACGTAATAAAATGTATCAAGCTCCTTCAGAGTCTTCTAAAATACGGGAATAAAATCAACGTCGATTTCTCTGCTTCCAGTTGCGGGAGGTACGCGTACGCGTATGTGTATGACATCAAGTTACAAGCAATGCACAAGTACAAACACAAGTTAAACAGTTCGGCCGTACGAGCAGCCAAACAAGCCCAAGAGACGTTTAAGCTCAGAATTTCTCCAGGTATGACGAAGCCTCAGTTTCCACTTCTAGGCGAAGACTGAAATTGTGGTAACTTCTGAACTGTTAACAACTGACAGTATTTGAAAGAAGAGCAAACAACAAGATGTTAGTTAGTTAGTTATAAAATGCTTTCGCCTAATATAATTTACTGAACTGACATTTGGAGTTCTCTCGACTGTGAGTAGGAGGAGACGCCGTGTAGAATTTTACCGACGTTTCGACTCCTCATCTCTGAATACTGAGGCAATATGTTCACCCGAAATGTCGGCTCTACCAGACTTCAGGATATGACATGCATGAAGACCATAATATTCAGCATAATGAAAATGCAATTTAAATGTTCAAGTCGTGTAATACGGATTCAGTGCCGACGGAAGGGCTTACATGTAAATGTTACATCTGTGTATATGTATATATATGCATCAGCTGTTCGCGATATTACGGGAGTTTGGCGGTGGGCGGGGAGGGCGACTTTGGAGTGGCTCCGAACAAATGCTGGGCTATGCGCACCCTGCTGTGGGAGCGAACTCGCGCCTTGCGGATATGTCCGGGACCAGCCACAGTTGGGGGGGGGGGGAAAGAACCCCTGAGCAAAGCAACCATGCGTGCCGACTCTAAAGCAAATGTTGCTATTAGGACTTTTCTACCCATTTGCGAGGTCCCCACAGCTCACGTCTGTCCGGCTCGCCGCGTTAAGGTTTCACGTGGTCTCTAAAGACAAAGTTTGGTTCAGTGCCTTCAAACAGACCGTGGATTCTTTCCTTCGCGTTCCTCCAGTTATGCCACCATTCTACGTAACATTTCCCATTTCACTGCAGAGGCTTCTAAGTAACCCCCGAGTCAATCAAATTTGAAGGTTTTGTAGCAGAATATTCTCTGGTTCGACTCTGCATATACGTATCAACATTTATATTGCGATGGAATATGACCATTTGCTAGGCAACGCTTCGGTAAACACCTCCCTAAAACCGGAATAGCAACAGAAGCGGAAGTTCATTTGCTAGGCAACGAATATTAACACACTGATTATTTCTCTAACAAAGAACATTAGCAAGACCATATGACGTATATTTCTTTTCAATGAAATGGACAAAAGCCTTGCTACATTAATGAATACTGAAGCTTTAACAGGTACTAAAAAAACGTTTCTTCAGAACGAGAGGAAAGATAATTTGAATGCATCCCAACCTTGCAACTGGCGCAAACAGAGTAGAGCAGAGCAGAACAGAGCAGAACAACTCGCATCATAACTTCCAGAAGAACGGAACGAGATCTGAGGTTCGCACGGTGGTCAGTATTACAGTTACATTCTTCTGGAATGTGGCGCCGTATAGTTTGGTAGATTGGTACCAACGTTTCTGAGGAGCCTGTGGCCTTGTTCTTCAGGGAATAAGAGAGATGACTTCTTCTGTCCTGAAGATGGAGGCAGTTTATCTCTCCGAGTCGTTGATACCAATCTACCCGACTGAGACAGTAAACTTATGTCATGCAGCGCTGCTAACAGCGCCAAAATTCTCTTCACATGTGTGATAACTGGCGTTATCAACGCTGGACCAACTGGGTATATATTACTACTTTCTCTGATACAATATCACGTGTTCCAGTATATTAATATGATTCGAACGCTTGACTGAAATGAGATTTTGCACCTATATTCAATGCTGTTCTTTATATCTGTTCTTAGTGTATTTGTATGCAGTATTAACTAGATCATGGATTCTATCTTCATGATAGCTAGAATTATTTTGCATGCCCCAAGTGGTCCATGAGCCACATTTGGGAAATTTTATCCTCGAGAAACTAAGGAAATTCAAAAGATTGGCTAGAACTAGGTGGTGTGAGCCGAGACTGCAAGTGCATCTAGACGGTTACACACAGTTCGCCAGTGTGAGCCGCGGGGTTACTTATATTGAGCTGAAATGGTGTAGCTCTGTAAGCAGGGCGACGAAACTTCGGGATCCATAGATCAAGAATATTTGTGTTGAATGTACTCGCACAATTAACATCATCTAAAGGAAGATGCTGAACCATGGAATTACGTAATTTCTATTTTTCTTCTCATGGGGTGAGACTGAGTTCACTTGGTACCGCTGCCATTGTTTGGCCTATTGCACCAGCCCCAGAGGATAGGCGATAAATTTGGAGCAGTCTGTGGAATGAGAATTGTCAGGGGAAACCGCAGTACTCGCAGAAAACCTGCCCCAGTGCCATTTTCTCCACCATAAATCCCTCATGACATGAGCCGGCCTCGAACCTAGGCAGGCGCGGTGGGAAGCCGGCGACTAATCGTCTGAGCAATGGCGCGGCTAATTAATTACCTGGTTAAGTTGCGACGGAACTGAGTTCAGATTCCCATGCCTCAGCACATGGAGTGTGCCTGCATATGTCCCATTTGACGCAGATGGCTTACCTGCAACTTGGACCACTGTATGCGGCCGATGCACCTCACGGAATTGCGCCAGGCCAGCTTCGCGCCAAACACGAGCTCCGTTTCCGTCAGCTGGTACGAGCCGTTCAGTTGGACCTCCTTCTGCACATGCTCCCAGCGGGACGCATGCGCAGAGCTGTTCAACCTGCAACACAGTTGTCCTGTCAGTATACATAGTGCCGAAAGTTAGAATGACGAAAGAATAATGATTTGGAAGGAAGCGATTATGGCTTAACAGACGTCCTATCCTGGCATTTGCCTGGAGGGGCTGAAGAAAACCACGGGAAGCCTGTCACGATAGATGGTACCCCGACCGAGACGCAAACAGAACACCTCCCTGTGTGTGCTTCCATTAATTCTGTAAAGCTCCGACGTCATTGTGGGGTCCCGGCAGTTGTACTCTTGATATAACTTTCGGACGGCCTGAGTATAAAAGCAGTCCCGGATGAGGTGAAAATTTAGCTGCAAAATTAACGTACAGCTGAGATATAATTGTCGTGATTCAGTATTTACCCCGTTCTTGTGCCTGCGATTTACGTGTCAGTTAAGACTGCGCCTGCGCACAGCATTTCGTTCCACTTATCCCGCAGTTGATCACATTTAAACAGCTACAGTTTGCTGCCCGGTTGGGGCACATGGAAACAAATTACTGACACTCGTCGGCTTTTAGCGAGTACCGTTAAATCTATATTCGAAACTTTTGGAGCATGGCTTTAACATTCAAGTTGTTCTGTTTCCATTCCGACCGCTGTAACTAATAGTGAAAATACAAAAGTTCTGGGAAGAACTAATACCATACATTTCTTTCACTGGAATTTCATTATCTCATAAAATAAGTAGAAAGAATACTTTAGTATGTGTGCGTAATGAAGACAATAAAACAAGACAATCTGGGAGGCCGCAGTGTTGCTGTTAGTAACGGGAGAGTAAATGAGGTACACCTTTGAGATAACCTCAGATGGCATGATATGCATACCAAGTTTCATGAGGACTGGTTCAGGTATTCAGGTAATATTAACGTCATGAGCACAACAATTTGAGAGGCTGTACTGTTGCTACTACTGATGAGAGGGATTTCCTATGTACGCTGCTGAGGTGGGCTCAGGTATCATGACATACTTAACAACGTTTCATAAAGATTTGTTCCGGCATTCAAAAGTCGATAAAGGGGATACATAGACACACAGACAGCAAAGTGATTACATAATCATACTTCTATTTCTTCAAAATAAGGAAAGTCAACTATAAACGAAACACATTGTTTATACATTATATCTTCTTTGTAAGTCTTACGGTTTTCGGGATAGTTAAACACAATTGGTGCCATCAATACATTTTCAAACAATCAACCATGGCCTCCAGAACAGAAATTCCGTTCACAAAAGGGGCCAAACAAGAAGTCTTGATTGGCGTCTGACTGCATTGGCTTAACAGATAGAGTTAGTTCCTACCTCCTCAGAGTTAAGTCTCCGAAACGTCGATAAAAATAAAAATGAGGATGGATTGTGTCCAAAACGTTTATCATTCTATTACTGCACCGCGAAAACGAAATTTTGTAACTTATATGGGGGCTAGTTCCATCTATCGGGCCCAGCGGCGTAGGTCCTTTACCTGTGGATGGAAATATACTGTAGTCAAAATCTTCGAAATATCATTTATGAGTAAAATTAAAATCAGGATTGATGTCTACAGAATTGATAATTGGCATCACTATGCCACTGTCACGAACTTATAGATCTGTTTAGCTTCCAGTAGCTCGGAACTCGCCGGTGTCGAGACTGCCTCTCGTGGATTGCGAACTGAAAGCGGAAGTTATTGGATCCGAAGTTATCACAGCGATGGTTATGCCTTCCGGCATACATAACATTGTGCGGTCACCTGAAACTCGCCTGGAGCTTCTGACGAGTATGTCGCATCCATCTTCGAGGCCGAACAGTGAGCCAAGCAAGCAGAACCTTGTTGCATTCTGGTATTTTCAAAAAGGGTGTAGTGGGCAAGGAACGGGGGAGGGGGGGATGAGGCAGATATCGTCTGCGTGGTTCGAAGGCACGTAATGGGGTATAAAAGCAGAAATATCGGTGGAGGCAGGAAAGAAAGGCTTAGAGCTGACGGGTGACCAGAAAGGGGAGAGTTGATGCTCTGATGAGGACCTGCGTGCCCGACGGGAACCCATCTATAGAATCCTCTGAAGGAGGCTTCCTCCGGCCTTTCAGAGAGCAGACGAGAGGTTTCCATGATTTATGTAAGCAGAAGCCATCCTCCGTGTTGATATTGTTGGGCTGGGGCTCGAACTCAGATTCCTGCCTGATGACGCGGTCTGGGTTTGGTGGAGAGAACACTGTGTTTCGCAGGAGGACGCGGTGCGCAAAGTTCATGCTGTGTTTCACGGCGACTCTCTTAGCCGGATATGCCGGTCGTGTTCTTCCAACCTGGTTCTGCTTCCTAACTGCTTCATGCTGGTTTCTTGCTTGGCATCTCATTCAATCCTGAAGATGGAGGCCACATATTCCTCCAAAATGTCGGTTGACTTCCAGCGGCCTAGATGGTATAACACGTGTATGTCAGAAGATGGGACTCTTCAAGACGAAAGTATGGTGAAAATATTGCAAATTATAGCAGCAGTTTAGAGACCGCTTGGGAGAGGAAGGTATTAATGTGGGTATCGTAACAGAAGAACTAACACATTGTTGCCGGGCTACGTAAATCACCGTACATCCGCCGCAATGTGTAATGCTGTATGATGGTCGGGCTACGTAAAGTAACTTCTCTTTTTGCAGCACTTTTTTCCATTGTAGAAAAAATATTGTAAATACAAAAAAGGCCTAGGCAATGCCCGCCTGGCCTTCTGTAGCACACTCTAATAAACATCTTATTCTATAATGCCGGTAAACCCGCGTTTGTTAATATAGATCTCGACTTAAATCTGTGAGTATACTGTAAATTATCAGTACAATTACTTCTTTTACTTTTCTGATATATCTATTTTATATAAATATAGGAATGTTGTTTATGAAGTAACAGACGCCTTGCAGAAATATTTTTTCTTCTAACCTTAGGAGCTCTGTAACTGATTCTGGGTAATGCTTTTTGCTGTTCTCAGACAAGATGTCCACGATTGTTGCCCTTTGGTCCTCGTACTGTTTACAGTCCCAGAAGATATGTTCCTCCGCTTGCAGCCATCACCACATTCACATTCGGCCGTGGACACAATGTTAAATCTGTTAGGCTTGCTTTAAGACTGCTGTGTCTCGCTCTCATACGGTTTATTAACACGTAGGCGCTGCGGTTCATTTTCATTTGTTTTGCAGCACTATAGTTACCAGTATTATGCTGCCATCTCACGGACATTTATTAAACTTCTAACTACCTATAGGTTGATCACACTGTTTCTAGATCTCTATGCACTCACTGATTTTCCCTTACAGCGCTCTGATTCATTAAAATTTATCATAGTTCTTGCTCTTCTACGTTCCGTCTAATCTAGTGTTAAGATGGCATATAGTGCCGCGAAAAGTTTGCTGGGCGACGAAATTGTGCAAGAATTACATGCAGATAAGTTGTCAGATGTTCTAAGTGATTGTGAAAGTGATAAAAGTAGTAATGATGACGAGAAGGACAATGATTTTGGACCCTCAGCGTCACAGAAAGGCAGAAAAAGGGCGAGGTTAGAGGTGAGTGATTCAGATGTAAATATTCATGATGTCTCTTGGTTGCATTCAGGTAGTTTTTCATTTATTTGGACAATTGTAAGTGTACCATCTACTAAGGAGCTGCCGCGTCTGAAGAGGCCTTCTGAGACTGTTCGGTATCTTCTTTTAATAATCCTTGAATATCTCCTATGACCGGAGACCAACAGGTTTATGCTCTGTTATTAGAGCAATTTGAAAGGCTTCGTTTGTTGAATACTGGTTTCGTTATAGCCGTGGGCCATTCTGTGGGAATTTAACATTCCTCCCAACTCGTTTTAAAGATGTGTACGAGTTCCAGTTCTAGTAATGTACCTTCATATTTAAAAAAATTCTAGACTTAGTCCATCCACTTCCGGGTACTTCCAATTAGGTAAGTTACTCAGTGTTTCTTATAGCTCTTCATATGTAAGCGGATCTGTTTGCTCTGCGTTAATCTCATCAGCTTCTTCCTTAACTTTAGGGTCTCGCCACGATTGGTGCAATTTGGTAGTAGGTTTACCTGTAATTATCTCTCTTCTCCTTCTAAATGTTTCATTACTTTATTTGTATATATTTATTGTCCATGAACATTATTTCCTACTGTACTGTGTCTACTGTGTCTATTAGGAGCCGGGATAGCGCAGTCGGTATAGCGACTGGCTACGAGCTTGACTACCGAGGGGTCAGAGTTTGAATCCCGGTAGAGTCAACAATTTTCACCTCTCCATGTCGTTCAGACCGGCTCTTGGGTCCACCCAACCTCCTATCCAATGGGTATCTGGGGCAATTTCCCTGGGAGTAAAGCGGCCAGGGCGTAAAACTCACCACTCACCTGCAACTAGTGCCGAGGTCAAGAAAATGAGGCTGTATACATCTAATCCCACATACGCCTTCATGGTGTAATTAATTAAGCACAGGGACAACTTTGCCTTTAGGGTGTCTATTGTATTTTGTCCCATCCTTCTGTTTATGCTTTCTTAACTTATTGTTTAGCTACTGCTGTTTTCCTCTTGTAAATTATTACATCGGCTACAGAGCAGTGTTCATCTTTCTTGCACGTGCTTCTCTTTTTTCATTTATTAGTTGTTGCAACTGATCATTCCAGATTTTTGGTCCTTTTCATCGCTAATAATTGTTCCGTTGTCCTAACACTTCCGCTGCGGCCATAAACATTGCTTCTCTTATGTTGTCCTATTCCTGTTCGGTGGCTTCTTCTACAGTGAAACTACTTAAGTTGTTTACGCGTACTTGATATAATCTTTTTTAAATACTTTGCTTCATCTAGCTTTTTACAGTTTTCATTTCCATAAAGTCATTAAAAATAAACAGAAAAATTGAGTACATATACCACGGAAGAATTATGAAAAATCATTGTAATCCAAAATAAACACCGTATGTCTGCTCCACAATTCCACCATATTGACAGCGTATGCTTGTAATAAAGAGGGGATTGATTATCCATGAACGTCAATCAGCC